TTTGCTTAATGCAATGATTGTAGCTTAATCTCCATCTAATTCAACACACAGATACTGAACTGTTGTTTTGTGCTGCATGCTATGCTAAGATATAAACTTATATATCTGATTTTATTATCTCAGCATCCTCCAAGCTGGACCTATAATTTTATTTACATGTATCTTCCTCAAGTTTAATAATTTAATAAAATGGATGATAGGAGTCAGGAAAAAATTTACTTACAAGATTACTGTTTTATTTAAGAAAGAAAAATAATTCAGAACAGCCAGACGCCGAGATGCAGAAGGCCAGGTGTCAGGGGAGGGGCGTGAACGTCCATGCTCTCTCTGGGTGCCCTCTGAGCACCTCCATGTGCTTACCAAGCTCTCTAGACACATGTAGATAGAGCTTCTAATGGGGGCTTCATTAAAAAGGCACACTTGATTAAATCATTGGCCATTAGCGATTAACTCAACGTCCAGAGCCTCTCCTCTCCTCAGAGGTTCCGGGAAGTGTGTGGCTGAAAGTTCAACTGTCTAAGCAGTGGTTGGCCTCCACTCTGTGGTTATCTAGGGGCTTTCCAAAAATCACCTCATTAGCATATGTTTAGGTGTGATTGAAAGGGGGTTGTTGTAAGAAACAAAAGAACCTCCTTTCACCTTTAATTCCCTGGAGCTCTTTCAGGATCTGAGGACAAAAGGCCAAATATTATAACAAAATACACCCCCATCGCTATCATCACTCAGAAAATTACAAGGGTTTTAGGAACTGGGTGCCAGCAGTAAGAAAAAAGATATATGTCACAATATCTTACATCTATAACATCTTGCTGCAGGTGTCTGCAGGTCAGTTTTCCCATGCGGTGCCCACTGTTTCTCCTTGGCTGAGATCCAAATTAGGCAAAAGAGGCAAGTCTTTTAGGCAGCCCCAAATTAGGCAAAAGAGGCAAGTTAGAGCATTGTAAGCAAACTCTCTGCTCTGTTCAGTTTGAAGGAGGAAATCAGAAACTGAGCTGTTGCCTTAGATAGTCTATTTTATGTCTTCACTCATAATATCTTGGCCTAGACTTCTGAGGGTTAGTTTAGCTGCAGCTTTTCTCAGCAATGCACACTGCTCCTTTCCAACTGAGATGCAAGTTATGCCACTACCTCCTCCTCCCTGGCCCATTTGAAATCCATGTGAGGTGAAATAAAGACTTGAAGAAAAGACTTGAATAGCTCTAAACTAAAATAGAACATTGTAAATAAAGCCTGCACTGTTTCCTCTGGATAAAGGAAGGCCACTGGGTAGTCATCTCCTGTAGACAAAGACCTGGGAAGTATGGGGTTGTGGGGAAGACGCATAAACACCACAGAATTTCCTACCATTTTGAATGTGGCTTTTAAAAGTTTTTATTGGGTGTTTGCTAGGTTACTTTAGGCCTTTGACTATTTTGTGGACCTGCTATAAAGTTATTTTAGCTAACTTGGGGTTGCTTTTTGATGTCACCATGGAAGACAAAGACTTAAAGCTTTCTAGTCTGCCATTTTGCTTGATTGTTTAGGTTTTTTTTTATTTAATATATTTTATTGATTTTATTGCAGATGGTAAAGGAGAAGGATAGAGAATTAGAAACATCGATGAGAGAGAAACATCAATCAGCTACCTCCTGTACACGCCCTACTGGGGATGTGCCTACAACCAAGGTACATGTCCTTGACTGAAATCGAACCTGGGACCTTCAGTCTGCAGGCCGATGCTCTATCCACATCTACTGAGCCAAACTGGTTAGGGCTGATTGTCTAGGTTTTTAATCCTGACCCTATAACTTATTCACTCAGCCTTTGTGAGACTCATTTTTGTTGTTGTTGTTAATCCTTATTTGAGGATATTTTCCCATTGATTTTTAGGGAGAGTGGGAGAGAGAGGGAAAGACAGAGAGAAACATCGATGTGAGAGAAACACATTGATTGGTTGCCTCCAACCAGGGCCAGGGCCCAAGGACCCTGCAACCAAGGCTTATGCCCTTTACCAGAATCAAACCTGGAATTCTTTGGTTTGCAGGCAGACACTCCATTCACTGAGCCAAAAATACATCTCATTGCAAAATGGGTATAATAATTTCAAACTTGCAGGTTCTCATAAATACAAATGAGGCCAGGTATGGAAGGTATGTATCACAGAGTTTGGAATATTGTAGTCCTTCAGTGTATGATAATAATTATTTTAATTTTATTATAAATAAAACTTTATTATAAATAAAACTAACCTTATATATCATCCCTAACATAAGCAGAGATTTGGGGGAATGATGGAGCCAGCTGTCTGCAGTCTGCTATTCAAGGTTACATTTGGTCCCATAGAAAGTACAGAAGTCTCAGTTAGTCCTAAGTTGATGGGTGCTTTGGATAACTCTGTGTCAGAGAATAAATTTGCAATCTTATCTCTACTAAGTGTCTCTCCTAGGTTGGCAGGTTGCCATGGCATCTAGACCCAACATGATGGCCCCCATTTGCCTGATGGAAAAAAACAATGAGTATCTGTCAGTGAATCAGGAAGCTCTAAAGATTCTTGACCATATTTCTCAGCCAGTGGTGGTCGTGGCCATTGCAGGACTGTATCCTCCTACAATGTTTGAATATCTATTATCTTAAAAATCCTTTGTGAGTTCACGTTTCATTTTGGCTACTACCCATTTGATCACTTTGCTTGGCAAAAGGATATTTTCTCAATTTCCTTTTTCCACTTTTCCCTTCCCATGTCTCTCTTTAATCCACTTCTTCCTGCCTTTGAACTTTACTTTTCTTTTAAAATGTCCTTGTCATGATTATCAATGACCTCTATTTTGTCTGGTTTATGGATACTTGTTTGTCTCATTCTGGAGTTCTAGCCTCACTGATATTCTCACAGTTAACATAGTCTTCTCCTTGAAATAGATGACACACAAAGTAGGAAATCCTTAAGAAATGGATAAAGCAATACCTTGTATGCTGGGATACTTACATTTTAACAAGTCTGATAATGTAGAATCTTGAGTGCTTAGGTTATCTGCTGTCATTGTACGTTGCTTTTCCATGTCCCTTGCAGGCTTCCCTCTGAGCTCTATGGTGAAGTCTAAAACCAAGGGCATCTGGATGTGGTGTGTGCCTCACCCCTCTAAGCCTGATTACACCCTGGTCCTTCTAGACACCAATGGTCTGGGTGATGTGGAAAAGGTAGTCAGAGTGTCACAGATATATCCTTTTCAATCTGTATTTTCTCCTTATTTCTTCATGATATTTGGTGGTTTAACTGCTGTGACTTATTTTTGAAATCTAGAAATGCAACTCTAGTAAATGAAGCAAATTTTGGTTTATTTGACTTTCACTTCTAGGTAAGGTATCCTGGTATATTGAACCGATTTTTCATCATTGCTTGGCATTGGGTGAATAATTTGATTCAATTTAATAATGATTATTGAACATCTGATTTCTAGTTCTCTGGGATTAGCAATGTAAAAATTAATGACCAAAGTAAAGGTTTTACCCTCAAAGAATCTGCTGTCTTCTGGTGAAGTTCATCAAGTGCTCCCAGAGCCTTCTAGAAGGCTTTGAGATACTTCTGAATGAGCTGCTTCTATAAAAGCATGTTTGTTGTACAACAAATATTTTAAAATGAATTTTTGATATTATAGCTTTATGCCCAAAGAGGAGTTACAAATTCTGTGTTAATTTTTAAAATCATATATCAAACAATGATATAGTCTTACTATCTAAATACTTTGTCATGAATGCCATTTCTTATTTTAATTGAGTACTTCTAAAAAATTGTGGTCAGAAAAATAAATAAATTAATAGGCTATTTTTTCCCCCCTCCAAACTCTTGTATTGAGTTTTTTCAGTATAAATCTCAGTGTTTACATTTGCTCTACAGAACAGCTTTTAATGCTGTTTAGAATAGAAATAATTTATGGTTTATGCCATTATTTAGACAAAGTTATAATTTATACAAACAAATTAGCTTGGCTATACTAGGCTCACTATCCAGCCCTAATTTCTGCCTCTAACCTCTGGTCCAGACAAGTCAAATAAGTCAAAAACTATCTCTTTGGTCATCTTCTGTCTTTCACCTGTGGGATTACCTTCATTTCTCCTCCTCCTTCTCCTCCTCCTTCTCCTCCTCCTCCTCCTCCTCCTCCTTCTTCTTTCTTTTTTTCTTTTTTTCTTTTTTTACATATTAAAGGAAGGTTTATTCCCCAGTAATGAATGGGTCTCATTACGGAGGTAGAGAAATCAGAATTAAAGGAGAGGGGAGAGGAGAAAGGAGGGACCCACCCGGGCTGACTCCACAGACGGAGAGAGAACAGCTACCTTCATTTCTTCAAGTCCACATTCTAATAATTCTTTAACACTTGGTTTAGGACTTTGACATATCATGTGCAATTTTCTTACTTTCTGAGCTCTGCTCTTTCTTGATGGACTTCTGACTTGTAATTTAATGTCATAGCTATAGATTCCACTGCTTATATATACTACATATAGATATTGTCATTTTTGTTGGATTTATTGCTATGGATAATTGCCACTGTTTTGAATAGTCATCTTAAAAAAATAATTGTCATTTAAAACTTTGAGTTTTAAACTTAAGAAGAGAAGGAAACATTTGTTGAATTTAATTGAACATAGTTTGAAAGACTAATTATGTCAACCACAGTATAATATATATGGCCTAAGACCAATACATAAGTATAGACTGAATACATGCTAATACCTACCACTGAATACCTAATTGCACTCCAGGTGCTCCATTAGTTTTTCTATATATGTTATTTTATTTAATCCAATTGAATTGAAAAAAGATTTGTAAAAATGAGAATTCTTTTACTTATGAAAAAGTCACAGTCACAAGAAATGTCTTTCTAATTGTCAAAGCTGATATTTATGTCTGTCTTCAAACTTACTTATTTGCATGGTGAGTACATTACCTGAAATAAAGTGAAGGACTGCTAGACTTAGTGTCTGAATGAATTTCTATAGGGTAAACCCCTGAATGTCTTGCCCTAATGTACTTCCAGGGTGACCCTAGGAATGACTCGTGGATCTTTGCCCTGGCTGTGCTTCTGTGTAGCAGCTTCGTCTACAACAGCATGAATACCATCAACCACCAGGCCCAGGAGCAGCTGCAGTATCCTTCCAGGAACCCAACCTCCATGTGCTATGGAGTCTTTGGGAATGGAGGTTTCTCCTTGCTTGTTTTTGGTGGAGCAGAAGGACCCAGAACAAAAGAGAATGTTTAAAATATATCATGTTTATTAGAGAAATGTGGGAATTGTGGGTAGAAAGTTATTTTCCTTAGCCAGATCCTAGTTATGTGACAGAGCTGACAGAACTCATCAGGACAAAGTCATACCCTAGACACATTGGAATAGAAGATTTAACAGAGTTTCTGAGTTTCTTTCCAGACTATCTGGGTTGTACAAGATTTTATCCTGGAGCTGAAGTTAAATGGCCACCCTATCATAGCAGATGAGTACCTGGAGAATGCCTTGAATCTGATTTCAGATATCAGTGCATGATTTGGGCTATGGACATCAACCATGTCAAACTCAAATGCTAACACAGACCAAATAAACAAGGTTTAAGTTCATGTGGACTGCAAAAAACCGAAAACCTTCAATTTTCAATGTATAACTTTGGTACACTAATAGCATCATTACATAACAAGCAAATTATTTTATTTTTTACTTCACAGCAAAAATACTCCAATTCCCACTTTTCTTGGAAATTTTGATGTTTGTCAGCAATTTTTTGTTTATTTTTACTACCATTGGATTTTGATAGATACATGCTGAATACAAAAGGTTGAAATAAATGAATAATCATTAACATAAAACAATAGAACATTTTAATAAAAATTAACATTTTTTCTTGAACATTAACTTATTAGACACTGAATAACTGCACAAATTAATAAGTATAATGCAAATAAATCTATTTTTCTTGTTCTCCAAAAGCAAAATATTTCCTTTTGTACACACCAAACAAGTCAGTACAAGACTAATGACGTGGTGACCGGCCGCTAAAATATTCGCTGCTAGTATTAGTGGGGAGAAATGATGTGTCTGCACGTAAGGCCTGTAAGGAAAATCAATGCAACATGATTATAGTACTCAGTCATTAGCGAACATTATAGTTTGTTGTTATTAATAATTTTGTATAACAGGATTTTGTAAAAATCAAATTATGAAATTTTTATTAAAATGTTTCTTACATACTGTTATGTTAGCTGGGCTTCAAAAATATTCTTTGTGGGCTGTGAGTTTGATATTCTTGCAATACAAGGTGGGAGGTACTAAATGCTGTCCATGATCTCTGGGCTTGTATTTGTGTTTTAGACTAGATGAAGTCTGTAGAAGTGGTGATTGGAAGATGGGTTGAAAAGCTCTATGGATTGGAGTTCAAGTTTACTTAAGAAAAGTAGAGTTTAATTACTCAAAACCAATTTGTTCTTTACACATAGTAATTTAGAATCCAATTGTAACTTTGAATACAGTGGTGCTAAAACTTTCTAAAGATCAGACAGTTGTATTCTTTATTATAGTTTCTGCTTTTTTGTTTTGAGAAAAACAACTGACCAGTTGTTACACATGGAATTATAATTAAAACCGTATATAATGAAATTTTTTTTCACATAATTAGATTCTTACTCTTCTGACACAAGGATATAACTTTCTATTGACTGTATAGATATATCATATAAAAATAATTTTATGTTCCAAAAAACCTGAAGCATGCATCTTTTCAATCTATGCTGCTGTCATATCACTGATAAATACCAGAACATTCATTTTATATTCTATAGCATAACTTTTAAAATATTCCCACATTTACCTGTGCTATAATTTTAAAACAATAAATTACTTTAATAGGATACATTTATGTGGGTGTATATCCGATAAAACCTCAAGAAAAGTATTAATTTTGAATTATTCATTCTTGTCTTCATATTTCTATTTATGCTTTCTCAAAACACTTAATGAGAAACTCGCTAGGCAGAAAAGCAACACTGTCAAGTCAAATATTCTTTTTATATTAAAGAGTTTATAGTTTAGGGTAACATCATAAAATAACACTTTAAGTTTTTGCTACAAAAAGAACTAACATTATACACATTATTTTTAATATTAAAATAATTTTCTTTAAATAATCAGAGTGTCATTCTTAATATTGCTTCGTAATCCCTTGTTTGTTATTCTTTTTGGTTCCATAATTGAATTTCTACATGGAATAAAATAGATAATTTAAAATTTTTATTTCAATAGTTATTTATTTAGTAAACCTTTACCCTGGGTAGGTCTGGAGATGCCAGCAATACGTTTTTATTTTTTGCTTAAATTAGATGTCTCCCCTAGGTTTGTATCATTGTTAAGTTTCAGGTTTAAAGAAGCATTGGATATCAAGGCTAAAGGAGTTAAAAACAGAAGTCACAAACATATGGGATGGCAAAGATACAAAAATCCTTGTCATAAAAATCTTCAGATCTCTTGTCCTCAGACAGTTCCTACTTCATCTTTTATTTTTTTTAAAATTATTATTATTATTTTTTTAATCTTTCAGGCAGGAATCCCAAAGCCCAAATATCCAATCTCCCTAGAGAGTGCACCCGGCATTTCTTTCCAAAAGGAAGTGTTTTGTCTTTGACTGGCAAACAAATGACAAAGAACTCCTAACCTGTAAAGAGAATGTTCCAGAAAAACAACTGGATCCTAAATTTCAGGAACAAACAAAGAACTTCTGTTCATACATCCTCACCCAGGCGAGGGCCAAGAGCCTCAGAGAGGGAATCACGGTCACTGGGAAATGTATCTCTTTTTTACATTCTGAAAGGCTCAGTATAAGTTAAATAAATTATGTGGTATGTTTTCTAATATTTTTGTTGGGTTCTATATATAACTTTGGGTTTAAAGATATTCATATTCTGTGAACAAATCTTTATGTTTTATAATTATCACTTTTTTGGCATTTACAAATTCTTATAGAAATCACAACTTTTATCAGTAACATCTGTGGCTTACAATATTTGAAAAAATATTGATAATAAAATCTCTAACTAGGTATAAAAGCAGAACATATGCCTTGCCAGTGTTCCTCAGTGGTTGATCATTAGCCCATGAACCAGAATGTCATGATTTGATTCCCTGTCAGGGGACATGCCTGTGTTGTGGGATTGATCCCAATGTGCAGGAGGAAATCTGATCAATATTTCTCTCTCATCAGTGTTTCCATCTCTCTATTCCTCTCCCTTCTTCTCTAAAATCAGTAAAACTATATATATATATATATATATATATATATATATATATATATATATATATAGTTTTTTTAAAACTATATATATATATAGTTTTTTTAAAACTATATATATATATATATATATATATATAGTTTTTTTTAAAGAATATACTATTTTCTCAAGGTAAACCCTATATAATAAGTATAATTTGCATGAAGAATACAAAAGGTAGCTTAGGAGTTGAAAGCACTCCAAGAATAACTTCAACCCATAAATCCCTGAAAATCCATTGGGAACTTCAGAATTAGGAGTGAAAATATCTCACTTATCTGCCTCAATTATCTACCTACGTAAACAAAGTTACTTTTAATTTTTAAAAAAATTAATTTTGTGATTTATTCCATTTCAATGAGTTTGTCAAGATAACTTTTAATTTTTTAATGGGTAATTGTTTCCAGTATCCTTTGGTATGGTAGATGAAGGTAGATATGGGTTTATTTTTTTAACCCTTGTGACCTGAAGAACCATAAAAATAAGGAGTCAGTAGGAAAATGAAGGTGATGATAGTAGGAGGAGGTATGTAGGGTTGTATGTGTGTGATTCATAAATGTGATTTCATATTCTTTAATTTGTTGAGTGAAAATTTGATATTTTCTCCTTAAATTTCCTGAGCTCAGTGTGCCAGCATTGGTGGGCTCTTGGTAAGAGCCCTATTTCTGCTTTGCCAGGGGCTGCTTTCTTGATGTGTCTTCACATGGTGGAAAAGGTGGGGGGAGCTTCTATGATTCTTTGTTATAAGGGCCCCACCTTCATTACCTAATTACCTTCCAAAGGACCTACTTCTAAATACCATCACATTGGAACATTGGGGGTTAGGGTTTCATCAAATAAAATTTAAAAGAACACAACATTCACTTCAAAATATGGTTGGAGTCATAGCCAGCTGGGCCTGATTCTGAAGATGGTGAATACAACAGGGCATCTGTAGGGTTATAAGGGTTGAGGAAAACAACCAAATGAAATCTAGATGTCACCAGGAGGCTTAGAGGTAGTCAGAATAACATGTCACAACCTGCATCCTGAGGTTGAGACCCTGAACCTGTCTCTTGGAGGATGGGACAAGATCACAAGACAGAAGATCTTGCAACCTTGGGACAGGAAATACAACGTTAATAATTTTCCCAGCCTTTCTTTAGGGTACACCTCTGCCCATTTATCATACTTGGTACCTGTGTCCTAGGGAAATTGGTATGACGAAACAATTTGAGCACTGTTGGAATCAGGATCCAAGTTGGCAGTGATACCAGATACGGGAAAGATATCACAGTCTCCCCGTTAAATAGGGGCACATAGTGTTCAAATAATAAATGCTGTCCTGGTCCAGGTGCAACTACTTGGTATCTCGTATTTGTTTTCAAATAAAAGTGAGTTTCATTTGAGGATAGGAACCATTATATCTCCTGCACATCTCCGGGGAGTGTTTCTAGGCACAGACTAATATCTTCTGGAAAAAGAAAAGGTTGACACTTACATGATGTTTTTAATTGCCAGAATGCCAATTATTTGAGGCAATGGATAGTTCGGATTTTTGCTATCCGATGAAGATCTCTAAGATGATTTAAAGGTAGCACAACAACAACAACAACAAATTCTTTTCTGGGAAAGCCTGTGTGACTTCATGTGTCATAATCTCTGTGAAGAAGTAAACACATTTGCAATGGAGATTTTCCAGTTGTGACTTCAAGTGTTCAGAGGAAAGAATGGCTTTGTCTTGTTAAGAAGAAATCATACAGTAATGAATATGTGGCCAATAAGTAAAAGGGGTCAATGGAAAAGCAAACTATTCTACGGAAATCTCTGTTCCTACTGAGAGTGTGAATTGATCTTCTAATCCTTTAGAGACACCCTGGATTAAAAAACAAAAAGAGAAAATCTTGACTATTTTAGATGCCACATGTAAGTGATATCATACAGTACTTGTTTTATTCTGTCAGACTTATCTCA